AATTAATTAGTTTCAAGAAAACATGAAAAATAATCATTTTCGTGAGTTCTATTAAAGTTCATGTGAGTTACATTTATAATTATTATTATCCAGATTATAATTTTGTATTGAGATGTGGTGCAAAAAAGTAGATACCACACATTCTATGAAAGTGTATAGGTATTTAATTTCAAAAATCATTTTCTATTCTCTAGTAAAAATAAAAGATATTTTCTCAAAATATTTTTCATTCATAAATTAAACACTAAAAAATATTTTCTACTCACCAACCAAACATGTGAAAATAAGTCAAAAATCTACTTATTTTCTAGGATAACATTTTTCATGGAAAACATTTCCCTTTCATACCAAACGCGCCCTAAATCTCATTTTTTTACCATTTACAGGCACTAATATGACGAGCATACTTAGCAGTCAAAAAGTAGCAGAACATTGAAAAGTTAGTCAAATAAAAAACTATTGTTAACGATTCTCTTTTTTTTGAAAAAAAAAAAAAACGTGGAACTATCAATTCAGTACTATTACAAATTCACTATCATTTATGTGATTGTACAGTATTTTAGTCGCTGCAGATCAGTGTAGAGACATGGCTATATTTTCCTAACACTACTCTCAAAAGAATAGATTGTGCTGACGAAACGAGGCCGGCCATGACAAATATTTGTATGAATTATACAGTCTACCTGCCTACCTTCATCCACTGTTTCCCCTACCTTTTAATTATAACTACTAGAAGCTGCAAATTGCTCCGGAAACATCTAAGGGGTCATTTGGTAGAGTGTATTAGAAAAAATAATGCACGTATTAGCTTTGTGTATTATTAGTACCTTGTATGGTATTCTTTTTCAATTTATGTATAAATGTGCACTGTATTGTCTATTAAGGTGTGTATTACTAATGCTATGAATTTCTAAGTATTAGCAATGCAAAATGATTTTAATGCATGCATGCATGCATTAGCATAATTAAAAATTCAATTACCCCTCAACCTTTTTTACATCTTTTCCACCATAATCAGAGGCGGACCCACATGCACCCATGAGGTGCACGTGCACCCCGTAACTTTAAAAAAAAATCATATATATATGTATAGATTGTTGATAAAACGGTGATATATTTAATTGTGCACCCTTTTAACTGAAAGACGCTTGGGTGCATTGGTCGAAGACTATAGTTTGGATAGTGGTTGTGTAGGTTCGAATCCCACGAAAGGTAGCTTTTTTTTAACTTTAAAATCAGTTTTACTTTACAGCTAACCTTTTTTTTAAAAGTTGGTTTTTATTAAAACTCGTTTTTGCCACCTCATCGTCCCCATTCCTTTTATTAACTTTAAAATCAGTTTTTTCTTTACAGTTAACCTTTTTTAAAAATTATTTTTTTATTAAAATTCATTTTTCTCACCTCAACCGCCCCATCCCCTTTCTTAACCACATTTTTTTGCCATCCCATCTGACTCCATTCTTTTCTTAATTAAATTAAAAACAAATAAAAACTCTAACACAATTTTAAACAAAATATAAGACTGCTAGAAAATCTACATCTTATAAGTATTTTTCACTGCATAATTAAAGTCCTACGCTTTGATAACCTTAACCCTAAGTCACTCCTAGCCTTACCCTTGAGCCACTCTTAGTGGTGCCCCTCTATCTTCAAATTTCGGGTTCGCCTCTGACCATAATAGTGGAGGATATCTTTGTAAATAAATTTTCTTTATGCAATGCATGCTATTTTTAATGCATCAAACCAAAAAATGCACAAAAATTTTCATTAATGCAAGCATAATATTGCTAATACAAGCATTACTAATACGGTCTATATAACATTATTCTTACACACTCTATCGAACAAGCCCTAGGAGAGTACTATACCACTATTTCTGCATTGGACATATCAAGTGGTCATGTCACTTCTGTCTTCTGTGCATCTGATGAGAAGATAATGTTCAAGAACAGCCTTAATCGGTGCTCGACTTTTTAAAATCATTTTCTTCATACTCATCATTGGGATCTTATAGATCTGTGATGGCTCCTACCGAAGCCTCTCCCTCGTGTATGACAACTGTATCACAATATTGAGATCAAGGGTGTGTATGGTATGAAGGAAAATATTTTTTAATTTTTTCATGTATGGTTGGGTTAAATGTTTTGGAAATTGTTTTTCAAATCAACTCATTTTCCTCAAATTTAAGAAAAATGACTTTTCTTCAAAACTTAAGGAAAATATTTTCTAAAACTCCCTTCCAACTTCAAATTACAATTTTTTTTTGGTGAATAAATCAATTTATTTTGTCCCTACCCTCAAACCAGCCCCCCAACCACACACACCCCCCCCCCCAAAAAAAAATTAAAGCTTATTTTTAAAAAATGTTTTTAACTTCAAATTTTTTACTCCACCCCTCACCCCTATCCCCAGCACCCCACCACCACCAACCCCCCCAAAAAAAATATTAAAAGATGTTTTTAAAAGATATTTCTAATTTCAATTTTTTATTGTTTTACCTCCCCCCACCCCTACCCTCGCCCCCCCCCCCCCCCCCCCCTTCAAAAAAAAAATAAGTTTGTTTTTAAAATATACTTTCTACTTCAAATTTTTATTTTTTCACCCTACCCTCTACCCTCCACCCTCCCCCTGCCACCCCCCCCCCCTCCTCCAAAAAAATTCAAGTTTCTTTTAAAAAAATATTTTCGACTTCAAAATTTTATTTTTTCATCTTGATCCTCGATCACCCTCCCACCCACCCTCCAAAAAAAATTTGAGTTTGTTTTAAAAAGTATTTTCAATTTCAAAAATTATTTTCTACTCTAGTAAAAATAAAATATATTTCTCAAAAATATTTTTCATTCATAAATCAAGCACTAAAAATCTTTTTCAGAAAATATTTTCTACTCATCAACCAAACATGAGAAAATAAGTCAAAAATCTACTTGTTTTCCAGGAAAATATTTTCCTTTCATACCAAACACACCCCAAATGTTTGGTTATAAGGGGAAAAAAATCCAATGCGGCCTGAGTATATACCCCTAGAACAATTTTCAAGATGATCAAGAAGTTCCATTGATCTCAACTTTGGTGCACCTGTCATTGACCCACCAGGGAATGCAGCTCTAACACAATCAATTGGTTCTTCAAAGCAGGGGCGGAGACACCCTTGACCAAGGGGCAAGTGACACCCCGTTGTCGAAAAATTACATCGTATATATAGATTAAATTTTGGTTTAACAAAATATATATACAAATATTGACACCTCTTAACACAAGTTGGGTTTAGTCTAGTGGTTAAGGGGTTGTGTAAATTCCTTGATGGTGCATGTTCTAGCCCTACTAGCCTCATAATTATTTTTTGAGAAAAGTATTTAAAACACATTTAAACATGACACGAATTATTAGTTTCGTCTCCGAACTATTGATAGTCTTAAAAACACTCCTTTGACTAATGGAACTTAAATACATCCTGATTTTGCCACATGGGTGAATTACACCCTAAATTTGATTTTCTTTGCTTTTTATTGAATTAGTTAAATAGAGAAGTGTTTCTAAGCCTATCAATAGTGTGAAGACGAAACTAACAATTCACTAGGGGTGTGCAAAAACCGATTTAACCAATAAACCGAATCGAAAAAAATACTATTGGTTTATTGATATTGGGTTATTGGGCTAACGGTTTTTAAACGGTTTTGCAAATATTTTTATTGGGTTATTGGTTCGGTTTCCGGTTTTATAATTTTTGTTAATGGTTAAACCGATAACCCAATAAGACTATACTAAATTTACTAGTCTTATTGTTAATGGTTAAACGATTGTTACTTTCACACTTTTTGTTAATGGTTAAACAATTGTTACTTTCACACTTTTTCTTTTGAATGTGTCTAGTGTCTAAACTTGCAAGAAAAATGATTATTATTTTTATGATTATTACTTTCATGCCAAATGCTGGAAAATCATATGGTTTATTTGAAAATTTTCTTATTGTGTATATAATATATATAAGTATTTTCTTATTGGTTAAACCGAAAATCGAACCGTTAAGTACCATAAACCGATTAACCAAAAACTGATAAGAAATATGTTATTGGTTTGGTTATCGGTTTGAAGTATTTACAAATCGAAAACCGATAAACCGAACCAATAACACCTAAAACCGAACCGAACCGACCGATGAGCACCCCTACAATTCACGCCAAGTTCGGAATGTTTTCAATACTTCTCCCTTATTTTTTTCACTACAACCATTGACACTCCTTAATGAAAATCTTAGCTCCGCCACTGCTTCAAAGGGTTATATTCTTACTAGTTCATCATTGGTGTAATGAGCCAACCAGCCCTCTTATTTTATAAAAAAATAAAATAAAATCAACTCCTTAAAAGTTATTTCCTTCCCTCCATAGACCCACAAGAACAAAAAAGTAGCTCATTCCACAATTCTTGAGTAAAGTAGAGGAGTAAGTGCGAGACAACTCCCTCAATCCTAAACTAATAACTAAAATAGTTGAAGTTAAGACATTAATGGTTTTGAGGATTCATCAAACTTGATTATGATAACGCTAAATCTCATCTCACCAAATTGATATCACATCTACGAGGTCAATACTTATCATTTTCCAATTTACAGGCATATATGACGAGCAGTCAAAAAGTAACAGAACGTGGAAAAGTTAGTCAAATAAAAAACTATTGTCAACGATTTTCTCTTAAAAAATCAAACGTGGAATTATCAATTCAGTACTATTACAAGTTCACAAACATATCTGTAATTTTCTACAGGTCTTTCAGAATCCTCTATGTACAGTATTTTAGTCACTGCAGGTCAGTACAGATCTGTATGCTATCATGGCTATATTTTCCAAACACCATGCTCAAAAGAATGAATAGATTGTGCTGACAGAACGAGGTCATGACAAATATTTGCATGAATTACATAGGCTACCTGACTACTTTCATCCACTGTTTCCCCTTCCTTTCGATTATAACTACTAGAAGCTGCATCTCCCACAGTTTTCCAAAAACTAAGAGAGTTCAATACCACTATTTCTGCATTGGACATTTCAACCGGTCATGTCACTTCTGTGTATCTGATGAGAAGATGCTGCTCTGATGTTCAAGAACAGCCTTAATCGGTGCTCGACTTTTCAAAATCATTTCTTCATACTCATCATTGGGATCTGAAAGAGCTGTGATGGCTCCTCCTGCTCCTACTGAAGCTTCTCCCTCGTGTATGACAACAGTCCGTATCACAATATTGAGATCAAATGCTTGGTTATAAGAAAAAAATCCAATGCAGCCTGAGTATATGCCCCTAGAACAATTTTCAAGATGATCAAGAAGTTCCATTGATCTCAACTTTGGTGCACCTGTCATTGACCCACCAGGGAATGCAGCCTTAACACAATCAATTGCACTTGCATCTGATCGCTTTTTCCCCCGAATTGTACTGACCATGGTATGAACTGTTGCATAGGATTCAATTTCCATGAGATTTGGGACATGAACAGAGCCAGGCTCACATACACGCCCAAGGTCATTCCTCAACAAGTCAACAATCATCAAATTTTCCGCCTGATCCTTTTCACTGTCACAAATTATTAAGAGCTTGGTCAGGATTGTTTGAGCATGAGTCTGTTCCAAGACATACGACAACCATTTTATATAGCAAACAGATACTTAGATACAACAAGGTGAATATAGAAGTTAAATAAAAGGACTAAACTAAGCAACTTAGGCAGATAAATTAAAGGTGGCTGGTGGGTTGAGCCCGCCAGCACTTAAGAGGCCAAAAAGGGTGAATATAAGTGTCAGAGTTGGGAAATACGAACAAGAGCAGCATTAAAGACTCAAACTTCTGGGAGATATGAATTTTAGAGATGAAAGGTGAACATTCTATAAGACGCAAGTAAGACGGTCAATAGTCAAAGCTTCCTGAGGATAATAAATGTCAGTTGATATTACGGTACTATGATACCATCAAAGCTTCCTGAGGATAATAAATGTCAGTTGATATTTCAGTATTATGATATCTCGATTTCTGTACCTGTATGCTAATTGCAGTTTCAGAAATTCATCTTCCTTTGGGGTGGAACCACGAGCTATAGTCCCTTTTATGGGTTTTGCTTCCAGAATAGCATTCCTATCCAATCGTAGGAACCTTTCAGGTGATGAACAACATATGCTTAGGTTTTCCCTCGAAAAATTAAGCCAGGCAGCATATGGTGCAGGATTTCTTTCTCTGAGATTACGATAAAGTTCCAGAGAATCTATTTCCCCCAACTTCATTCTCATCTGAGTTGTAAGACACAACTCATAACTTTCTCCTTCTTTTATGAACTCTTGACAATTCTCAACGTCTTTGATATACTGCTCTCTTGATTTCTCAGCAGAAAACCCTGATTTTAGTTCGACTACAGACAATCCTCGAGATGCCTGCGATTGTAGCCTTCTGGACGTAAAAGCTCTCAAGTTGAGCAGCCTCTGCTCCAGATCTTCCAAGCGAGAAGTAGTACTTGTGCTTCCATCGTGTAGTGACAAATTATATATGTCATCACACTGATGATCAATGACAATAACGTTATCTGTAAAGAATAAACAAGCATCTGGTGTTTTTGATCTATGACGATTAGATGCCACACCACATTCAGCTTTAAGATCATACCTGTATCAGGAATAGACACGTCAAACCACAAGAAGATCACAAGTCATGAGAAACAATTCTCCCTCCAACCAAACACACATAAAATGGAAGAAATTAACAACCCAACCTCCCATACATCAGCTATATCCAGAGTCTCATCCAGCATAGAACAACTACAGATGATATGAAGGTGAAGCTTTCTGCTATTCATGACTTCATACGCCATGAAACTTACCATGAAAAAAAAATGACACACAACCTTATATACACGAGCAAAGGACATCCCCCTACATGCAACAGCCAATGATTCAAGGAAAAGAAGGAAAAAAAACTTCTAAAACATACAATGCAAGTCCTTGAAACATGTAGAGATACTAAGATAATAGAGTAGGAGGAGGGTTCAGATCATTTGAAATGAAATCACTACATACCCGATATAACCAATGTAACCACCATAAAAATCAAATGGTAATCCTTCATAATCCTTCTCATCGAAACAAAATGATAGGAGCTCCTGGTGCAGAGACAAAGGAGTTAATCAGTAAACTGTTAACATCAAATCCTTATAAGGAGGAGAGGGGGGGGGAGCCTCTCCTGAACGGAACAAAACGGAGGAGCTCAACACTATACTTACATAAAAATGAACGATGAAAAATTTGTCATTGCTTATAAAGATACATAGGACATGGGATGATCAGATTTTCTAAGAGGTCAAATAAATTCAAAAATGTGTTGCTCTATTGCTCAAATTCAATATGTTAATGGGAATATCCCATGATAGTATTGCATCTCCTTGTTCTGCCCCACTTTAACTCTGGACTACTGATTGAGGTGGTGATCTTCAATTTCAGCAACACATAAAAAAAATTTAAAAAAAAAAAAATACTGGCATACACTACCTTATTTAAATAATCAAAAAATCCATCTTCCAAAAATTTACAATTAACATGACCATTAGCATCTTCAACTGATAGATGGCCACCTCCTTTACACGTTCTGTCACTGAAAATGTAAGATGACGTGTTATGATTGAAAAGCAATGTAGCATTCAAACAGAGATCGATTGAGAAACGACAAGATCTCAAGTAAGGCATTCAGGCAACGTTTGAAGAGATTCTCACCTTCGATTTGACAATCTAAAACTAAGTTGCTTCCAGAGGGAGCCACCCTTTCCCCCCATAAAGGAAAATCTAGCCCTTCCCTGAATACCACAGGTGTATCATGGTTAGAAGGAAAAAGATGAGGGGATGCCTCATAAGCAAAGTAGCCAACCTCAAAAAAAATAAAAAAAGGACAGACAACTTATGAGATGAGAATTCACAAAACGAGAGAGATTGTTTTTATGCTGTCTCAACAGAAATCTACCCTCTACTTTCCATTTCGTAAACAAATTAACAACTATCATAATTAATTACTGCATCTGATTTTCTTGCTTTCAAATTGACACAATCATGGGAATAATTGCTTTTGTTTTGTTTTTGTTTTGGGGGAGGGGAAGAGATGTAGAATTGATACAAGCGGGTAGAGGACACATTACCTGAGAGAGCAACAAAGAAGAAACTTAAACAAAATGAAAGAAAGATATGGCATCTTTGATGCAACTTGAAAAATACTCCCAAATGCAGAGACAGACAAAAACAGTTATCACGTATGGTACTGAAACTGAAAGCTGGAGAGGAAAAGACCTTCTCTATTGAAGAGCTATCCAGCCAAAAACTGTTTTTAGCCTTTTGATCTCCAAATAGCTCACAGAAAATATTATCTGCTCCACCAACTTGGCTGACAGAGCAATCAAGTTTTTTCCATGTCATCTTCAAAAAATTTACACAGTGACCTGGATGTGATAGATTTAAGGTTCCATCCACTTCGGCAGTTCTCCTCTCAATCAATTTATTCACCAGATGCCCACGTCTTGCAACACTTTGGGACAGCGGGTCTAGATTAGGCACCTGCATGCATGCTAAGTAAATTTTACCACTCAGAGTAAATGTGGGGACAGTCTACTGAAACAGAACAGGAAAAGCTGAAAGCATTTATATGCTGATTTAGGAGTCACAATGATAAATAGAAAACAAGAGAATCTCAAAACTTACTACAGCAGCAAGTAAATCTGATGAACTTGATAAGTGATGGATTATCCATACACCTAAAGTTCTCTAAGTAAACAAATAATTCAATGGCATGAAAAGGACTCAAAGAGACTATAGAGACTAAATAGGCAGCTCCACTGAACTATCTCTATTTTATAGAGCAGTTACCAGCATAATGAGCCCTTCTTTCCTTGATGGAGGTTGACGTCAACAGGAGCCAATAATCCTCTGTGATTTTCCGGAAATTCTTGAAAAGCTGTCTTCCGTAACTTGTTGCAACACTTTCTGGGTGGAACTGGTAGCAGAGACAAAATCGATGTTACATATTAGTGAAACAGGAGCAAATTCTCATTCAAAGTGAATGACCAAACTCACCTGCAATCCATAGTGCGGCCTACTAGAATGCATGACACCCATGAGGACTTTTCCACCTTGCACATCCTTTGAATCATCTGATAACTCCAACATCCCATTAAAAATATCTTCATTTTCTTTGGACGCATTTAAGAATGAATTGGATCGCTCGACACCATGGAAAGGGAGTGTCTCAGCCGTTGAGGTCCAAGCTATAGGAATGAGTTCCTTTGGAAGTGATTTCGGGTCTATTACAAGGGAATGGTACCGTACCACCTGAAATGTGTCAATAAAGTTCAACCAAGATAAAATAAACTACTTATGCTAGCAGTTTTCATCTTCTCTTTGTAATCCAATTCACTGAAACATAAAGAATGTTCTATAATTATAGACCAACATAAAGCTTCAGGTAGCCAAAATTCCAAAACTTCAGTACTAGCACCGGCATTAGTAAAAACAGTCAGTCAGTCAGTCACTTAAAGCGATGTATCGATGTGAAGTGGGAGTTTTACTTCATGTGGGTGAAGTGAAGCAACTTAGAAGAACGAGCACTTTAGATAGTAAGGCACATAGCCATTCAAGCTAGAATCAATCACTTCTTTGATTTTGACTTTGAAAGCTACAATGTCCAAGATTATTGCTATCTTGAAACTAGGTTTCCAGTTTAGGTATATTTCAATTAATGTTTCTTCTCTCATTTACAGCACATCTTCTTATACTTTTCTTGATTTTCAATATGCCTCATTCTTCTTTTTCTTCTTCTCTGTGCATCTTTTACTTCTATTACTTTGGTTTGGGGCTTCTGTTCAGCTTCTCTATCCTGTTCTTTCTTGATGCCAATGATTTTGTTTCTCCTTTTCTTGTTTGTTCCCTAATTATTCTCCAATTCTTTATTTATAGGCTAAACATAGGACAATAATAAAGTATCACACAGTATGATTTGCAGCATGGCAAAAAAGATATTTATCCAAAGGAGGTAGGGAAGCTCTTATTAAGAGCACATTATCGAGCATCCCCACATATTTTTGTTCCTTGCTCCATCTTTGTCACAAGAAAGTTGGACTCCATGCTAGCACTTCATCTTACTGCTGGATGAGAATGTGTATGCTTTCCTGTGCATGTCTAACCGCAAACAACAAAACAGAGTTTGACTAAAGTTCTTACTCACTCATATGGGTGCTGGTAAAAGTTAAAACACCCATGATTCCCATATTATTTGAAGTTTATCATCTAAATGATGTTTTACAGTCTTCTAAAATCTAAAATCAATAGAAATTTTGAGAAAAAAAACGTGAAGAAACCAAGCCAGCATTTCAAATTGACTTACATATCTCATCACAACATAAACATAACAAAAGAACTGAACAAATTCATATCGAACTGACCTTAAATCCAGAATTTCTTCCTGAAGGAATTTCATGGAATAATTGACAACCATTGTGCTCAATATCACTGCAAGGTATAGAAAGAAGAGACATTTTGGAAAAGATAAATGTAATGAGTCACCAAAAAAGAATCACAGTTATCCAGCAGAAAATTTCTTAATCAAGTCTTTACTAACGTGAAAACCACAAATGAGGAGTAATAATGCTAAGCTCCTAACTCTGATTTCCGGACACCAGGAAACCTTCTCTTGGAGACCTATAAGTGTGTTTCTTTATTAAGAAGGAAACCTACAAGTGTTTTCAACAAACTATTAATATATTGGTTTCAGTTTGTGAACTCTCCACAACATATGTGTGTTCTTTCAGAAGGAACCTGTGAGTGTTTTCAACAAACCTTTTTTTATAGGTAAGGTAGCATGAGAGTTACGCAAGATTTGGACCAATGACCTTCAAGTCAACTTTGAACACCCTTCACCGCCGAGCTAGCACTATCAGTTGTTCAACAAACTATTAAAATCTTGGTTTCAATTAATGATGTCTCCACATATCACCATCTTATATGCATATTTTAATGACACAGTATTTTTTGTTTCAAATGATCATTAGTTAATGTAACACCATAAAAGAAAAGAAGAAAAAAAAATGAACAATTAAAACACAGATCATATACCTCAAACGACCATGGACAGGTTCAGGTGCATGTACAACTTGAGCACCATGCACATATCCCAATGCCTGTTGAATCATGTAAAAGTCAAGTACACACTTTAGATCCTATAGAAAAATCTACAAAAACATGACTAGAGGCTTGTAACATGCATAGACTGTATCACCTACACATCACAAGATGAATATCTATGATTTCTTTCATGGGGATGAGTGAGGTGCTCAACAAGATCTACTACCACACTTGGGGACTGAATATTTGAAGACTTTGATCAGAAATTTCTCAACCTTTATTCATTTCGTCATTCCCTTGTTATGTATTGAATATTTAAGGGTGTAGTCTTTTTATTCCATACTTGAATCTTGTTTATGGAAATATTTTATGATTAAAGTTTGGATTAAATCTCTTGTTTTGCTAATGTATTGAATGATTCTTATTCTCAATGAAGTGAGTTAGTTGTTTCTTAAATTATTCTTGTTCTTTAATGTTTCCAAGGGAGTAGCTAACCCTAGGACGCACCCATTTACATTGATTTGAGTTCAAGACAGGCACATAGAGGATGGAAAAGATTGATTAACAAGAATTTGGGGCATTAACCCTCAGTTCGAGCTAGAGATAGGAGAAATACTTGTAGCCACATTCAGGTGTTTTTAATGCTCTTAATTGGGCTAGAGATAGCCAACTAGGTAGTCTTGTTAGTGTCCAAGAGGAACTAATATAGAATTGTTTTCCGAGACTAATTAACATAAACTCACTCTTATTTGTAAAATCCTGAAATACATTGGATCGTTACTTGAGAGTGATTTCCTTGTATCCATGTTTGTGGCCATTGATCATTTTACTTGTTTTCTAGGTTAGTTTATATTTCCTCATTAGTTATAATTTTCTCAAAAACTCTAAATATTATTAAGTATTTGGCTATGCGTAGTTTGTAATTATATTGCATATGACCATGTACACTTCCTCTCTTTGAGGAGTGGTTTTGGGCGTTAGCACCTATATAGGCAAACACAGTACATAGAAAGTATCTTACTTGTACTCCACCAGCTCAAGACACCAGCTAGTACCAATAGTTCAAAGGGAATAAGCAGTTAAGCATCCAAATCCAAGATATATATACCTTGGTTCTGAAAAAGACAGGACTTTTTACTGCTACTGACTACCCAAGTGTTACACAGTAGAAACCTTTGTTTCAATTTTCCATTACCCTCTAATATAAGATAATCCCAAACCTCCACATTAATTGAAGACCAAATGTGGCAGTGTTAAGAGTAGAACCCAATAAACATTGAGGAATTAAGTGGTATACGAGCTTCTACCATTTCAGAAGCTTTATATAATGGATGACAAAGAATCAGAAGCAAAACTAATTAAAGAAAGCTGATATTCCAATATTCTGCACCGTCTAGTGACCTTTTGATTTTCTACAAACAAATTGTAAGAACAATAAGCCTCTGCCCTGTTGCCCATCATATTTGCCATAGAAATGAGAAAATCACATCATTGGAACTTACAAGTTTAATTTTCTTACAAGTATAAAGGACAAGAAAACATCACTCAGCACTTTCACTTAATCTACCTCACTAAAGATAAGGCAATACCTTATATAGACACATTATAGGACCTGGCAGCCTCAAGCCCAAAGAAGAAATGAAGGACCAGATTAATGTAATTATGCTTGCAAGAGGATAGCCAACCAAGAAGCGTGACTTGTATGGCTTAGGGTTATCAATCGACATACTGTGTTAGTACTTGATTTGTCGGCAAAGAAGGGCAACATAGAAAGCTTGTGCAACATATTCCCTTTTAGGTTGTATCTTATGCAGTAAAACAGAATTATCACATGTGACATGTCAATACTGATATCTAGCTGGCAACATGCTGAAATTGGCACCTTAAACTAATATCATGTTGTTAAGCCTTCACCATAATAAAGCTATAAACAGCACTATTAGCCTGCTGGTAAGGAAATTTGGAGTAACATGCAAGAAGCAGGATTTTGAAGATCAAATAAATATATTGTTTAATGACAAATAAAATATTATGCAACCATAGTCAATCCTCATATTGTGAACTACTTTCTATATTGTGAATGACATAAGGTGATAAGACCTCTGAAATACCAGTTTCCATAAGTTTATTTCTTAACAATTAACTATCAACTACTTATAATTTTTTATCTCATAAAAACTGTAATTTGTCCCTAAAATCAACAATAATTACATTTTGGTGAAGGTTTGAGAAGTACCAAAGGAGACAACAAAATAGCAAGACAAGCTACACAAGTTAGCAGGTGCAAACTTGATCAAACAGATCTCATGCAAAATCATATGCTAAAGAATGAAAAATATTACAGACAGATATAAATGGATACATTACCTGGTGACCAAGGCAGACGCCTAGTATCGGGATATCAATGCATTCAAGCAAGAGCCTCAGGCAAACTCCTGAAACATAGGTATAAGGCATGAAAGGCGACTTGTGATAACCATAACAACTTAACAAGCAAGTAAAGTTGAAGCTAAACAAAACTTAGATAGTCAACATCCACACCAATATTATGATATTGGAAGGTTTTCAAGTTAATAACATCAAGCTCTAAGACTAAGCAGAACTAGATATACTCTCGTTAATGACATCAAGCTCTAAGATTAAGCAGAACCATTCACACTCTTGTAAGTTACCTCATCTAGGACAATAAAGAAGCCACATTGGCAAGTCATTGTTTAGAATGAACAAAAATACACATGAAATAGAATACAAGGCACTTAGAATCAGGTTTCTAAGGCAAGGATGGATGACCAATATGCTGATCCCAACAGGTTAATGCATCTAAGTGCAAAATAATAACAAGATTTATCTTGTCCTAGACAAGGAAAAGAGAGTAGATCATTTGGATTTCAGGAGTCCAAGTCAAACCTATATCTGATGGACATGTTGGAGAACCAGGACCAGGTGATATAACAATATTGTCAAATGCCCTTTCTTCGTACAGGTAATGATAAACTTCTTTCCATGTCCACTCATCATTTCGAATCACCACCGGAGGCACTAACATAACCAAAAATTAAAATAAAAAATGTCAGACATCACAAACTCATGTCAATGCTATGAAATTCAGGGAAAGATTGGAAAATTGCACACTCAAAGATGACTTTGTGCTAGATGATTAATGCAAGTGACAACCCGCAACCAAAATTTCCAAAATACAACAGAACATGAAGGAATCTAAAACTAATGATTTTGTTCTAATAAGTGCATATTGGCAACAGTTATCAATTTATCAAAATCATACAATCTAGAAGCAACCAAATATCAGGAAAAGCCATCAGAAAAACAAAGCTAAACTTGAGAATCTAAAAAGTAGCCCTTTTCTTCTTCAATATTTAAAAAAGAGAGTCCAAATCTGTTGAAACAAGAAAACTGGCCACCTACAGATAATTTGCAGATTTTTACTACTACTATGGAAGTAAAGCCCACGCCCTCAGCTTACAGTGTGTTCATGTTATTCTCATCATATCATCCTAAAGCATATTTCCTAGTCTACAGCTTACAATACAAAAGGCACTAATGGAACTTCATAATTACAAAATGATCAGCTCCCACAAATTATTCCTTTTAATAGCTAGGTGTAAAGCGTAGAGATCACTAAAAATCAAATTACAAAGTTACAAGTCATGTTTTCTCAATTTTTCTCAAGAAAAGGGGAAAAGGTAAAAAGCGAATAGAAGAGAGAGATGAGGAACTTCCATTCTCCGGTTTTCAAAAGATAAAAGTTTCCATGTCGTAAGAAAGAAAAACAGTCTTTACATTCAAGCTGGAACCAACTTGAGGCCTATCATAGATAGCCAGGAGGGGAGGCTTAGCAACTTAAGGTGTGGATGAGAAGGAACGTTTTCAAATCCTACCTTTACTCCGGGTGAATGTAGTACAAAATATAGTCACAGGAAGGGGACTAAAAGAGTTGTTCCTTTTAAAATTTTCTATTTCTTTGACTTATTTTATGAGGGACCAAATTGAATAAAGAAGGAATTATATGAAATATTGCTTGATTTGCAGAACAGACGAAGAACATCACCTACAGCTTCACATTACTACACAATTGCTGTCACATTTGCTTGAACTCTATGTATCGCAGCTTAGATACAGAGATCTACCCCTAGACAAGTTTTATACTGAATGGGAAAGAAAGCACTGAATCTCTGGGGACATGACATCTAGTTTCTGTATTTGCCCAAAGCTAATGATACTTGTCTTTGGGATGGGGTGGGGGTCTCTCAAGGAAGAAAGTGAAGGGAACAAATACAAATTTAGCAATAGGTCTACTCAAGATAGTAATTTCCACTTCATGAATTAATGTTGGTCAAAGAATAGTTCTTGTCCAAGAGAACTACATCTTTTTTTTGAAACTGGTAACTCTGTATTCCTCAGCATTAAGGGCTATGCTGGCCACCTTCAAAAGTGTTAGTTACATAGAAATAACAACCAAAAAAAAGAAAACAGGACTACTTACAAAGCTCCTATGAAATACATTTTATCAACAGAGAACGTGGAATTATTTTATATTTTATATGTATCAAAATACAGAGACATCAAACAGTAACTGCTAAATACAGACCAAAGAAAAGGCAAAAGGAATAGACATACTACCACATTTAGAGGAGTAGATATGTAAATGATTAGAATAATTCAATAAAAGGAAATTGACTCATTTCAACTTCAATACAAAGAAGCTATGACAGGCTGGTGAATTGATAGTTCAAGTTTTTTTATTTTATTGAATTGCTGGTAAAAGTTATGCGAGAGAACTCGTAAACAATGTATAATAGAGAGAGCTTACTTCCATTAATGATTGAGAGCTCTTGGTATATATTGTAAGTGTAACTGTCATAGTTGTCAATTAGTAGTGTGCGCACAAATTCTAACTTTGGAACTGGCTCATGTAGAAACTTTTTTCTTGTACCCGATGCATCCAAATGTCCAGGCACCAAATGACTTGAAATTAATACCTTCCTTTCCTTACGGTTATATTTTTGGAGTGCATCTATCATACCAATCTTCTCAAAAGGTTCAGGTGCTAAAAGAAAATATTTTCTGCTCTGAAGATTTTGGCGGCAGGAAGAGGCAATCATAAATGATGATGATGAAGACATGGCAGAATTCATTTATGATTGTAGAACGAAACCACAGGTTCACCAACCAAATCCTTCTGCATAACATAAGATGTGGCAGTCAGAGATGTCTATAATCCTAAATCAATCACTTCACAAGTGATAATCAAACAGTATTTGAAAGGGCTTATGAGTAAGCCACATTCAAATATCACATTTTCTTGGCAACATAAACCAAACACACAATTTAGGAAACAAGACCGAACATCGTGATTAGAATGATTTAGCAAAGAGTTAACAGGTACTTGCAAACACACTCTTGTCATACCTCTTGCATTCTGCAGAGAATAGTCACTGAAGTTCCCCAGATACTAAATTTGACATATAATTAGATAGTCTTTCAATTCCTTTGAATTCTGGACTGTTCACAAGACAATAGTGACAACATAATTTACAGCTAAGTTGAAGGATCCGACATGCATCCGTCGACATATTTGAAGAGTCCGAGCAACATAGATTTACAGTTCCACGAAACTTCCTATTGTAACAACAATTATACTGGGTAGACAGTACTTATTAAATTAAGCAGGCTTTCAGGAATAAACCAAGGTGCTTGAGGGCCAAGAAGTGTTTTTATTTTCTTCTTTTGCTCTCTTAAAAATGCAAACTGCCAAAATACTTCCATTCTTTCATTTAGCTATAGTAAGTACACCATAACTAATGAAAAGTAAAGATATTGCACAGACCCATTCCCATGCTAGGAATTCTAAAACAACAAACGTCCATAGATCAATTAAACTTTCTAAAATTTAAGACTAACTACAATTTAAACAACTCATCTAAAAGACAGGGCAGTCATAAAGTTGTTCGTTCTTTTATATGTAACAAACAGCCAAAAAGATAAAATCATGTTCAAGAAATTCCATAATTTGTCAACTAGCTGTTTAGAAATTCAATATTTGACATTTTCTTCAACTAAGCAGAAAAAGGCAATACATACAATAATGTTTTCACTAACACGCACAAATAAGCATCAAGCCAAGAAGCAGATCTCAATAATGTTGGAGTTAACAGAAATAAGCATCAAGCCAAGAAGCAGATCTCAATAATGTTGGAGTTAACAGATCCGAAACGTTTGGTGGGGAAGTATGTATACCTACTGCAGAAATCACTTGTTTTTCAAATTCCTTTTTTCGGGTTTTTCACTTACCGGTTTGGTTTGGCTTGGTGGGTTGGCGGAAGTGGTGGGGTTGAGCAACGAATGATGAGATTGAATGGAGTGGAAAACAGCGACACATTGGTGAGTGTGCAACCACAAGATTTTCAAAGGCTGAGGCGGCGAGCAACTTTCTACTCCCTCTTCCATGTGAAGCTAGCGTTTGGCCATATTCCAAATTTTTGTTTTTATTTATTTAAAAATTGGTAAAATCTATTTTTAAGTTATTTTTAATTTTTGAAGTGTTTGACAAATCATATAATATATATAAATATATATATATATATATATATAATAAAAGAGAATCTTAGGCCCGCCTACGTGGCGTCACCACAAATCAGGATTCCTTTTTTAATTTATATATTTACAAAATTAGTCTTCCTCTTTCATGAAAATTTGCGACTTTAATGAAAAGTTGCGACTTTTATGAAAAGTTGCGACTTTTATGAAAAGTTGCGACTTTTATGAAAAGTTGCGATTTTTATGAAAAGTTGTAACTTCTATGAAGAGTTGCGACTTTTATGAAAAGTTGTGTCTTTTATGAAAGGTTATGACATTTCCGAAGGGTTGTAACTTTTCCAAAGAGTCGTGACCTTTCCGATAAGGCACAATAAACATTTGTTCAAACTACTCTTTGTTGTCTAGTTATAAATAGAGGGATTTCCTCTCATTTTAAAACAACGAAAATTCTGAACTTCTTCTTCTTCTTCTACAAAATTAAATATTCGTGTACAATTTTTTCCTTCCTGTTTCATCCTATTGTTACAGATCCTGATATTTTTTTTACAGTCATTAATTTATGCTTATGTTATTAATTGTTGTTTTTGAGTACATGTTTTTGCAAAGTTATTGTTTATGTTTTTGCAAAGTTATTGTTTATGTTTTTGCAAAGTTATTGTTATAAGTATTTGTTGGTACAGATTAAGCAATGCACGTTAATTGAGTATTCACGCGAGTTTTCTCTACTGAAATTGTTGAAGGTACAGTAAAAAAATTCCTTAAAGATCTATATTATTATCTCTTGAAGACAAAATTCAAATTTGGTATACTATTGTAAGGACGGAAAGACCTTAAAAACTTTATCACACCTTGATGTGCGAAGTGAACCAAGAAAAGAAGACAAAAATTAATAAACTTTTGACATGGGTTCAAGGATGTGCCAGATGACCTATAGAGGAATATGACTTGACTGGAGCCTCTTTTAATCAACACAATAAATTAATTGCTCATATTCAATATGAAGTATGGACAGATTCTCAAGTTTACTGCAAGTTGTAAAAACTTTCTTGAAGTAATAGATGTGTTTCTCGACATTGTGATTGCAATAGAGGTGTAGTTTCAAATTGAAGTTCATTGGTATGTTGATTTTTAAAAAACACTCAGACAAACTGAATAATTTGTGTAATCTTTTTCCCTTTCAAGTATATATATAATAAGTTAAATTGTTATCCAATATGATACATTCTCCCTTTAATTTTTCATTTTAATAATTACTTATGATACATTTAAATGAGGAATTTTAAAATGATATATGTAAAGCAAAAGGTAGAGCTAAACTTTTGACACGTTAGAATTAGAATATTTGTTCATTTTTTTCATCCTTTCAAAATTTATTTATCCCTTCACCAACGATTATTTATTTATTAGAAAATTTAATATCTCCGATATGGTTGATGTTCATTTGAATCCCCAAAAATATCAAGTAATAACACTTCCTGGGCAAAAAGATAAATTATAAAATCAAATTAAAGATGATTTATTGAAGGATAAATGATAAGATATTATAATTATCATCTTCCTTTACTTTATTAATGTTTGTTATATGTAATCTTGTATGTAAGATAATATAGTGTTTTAGTTTTAATGACTCATAGATTTTAAGTATTATTTTATAAATTCAGTGATATTAAATTCCCCTGCGAAGCGCGGGTGATTTTACTAGTTTAAAATATTAAAAATAACTTTTAAAAAATTGAAAGTGTTATAAAATAATATATTGTGGATGTCCACTAAATCAAGAAGTTACTCCATTACTTTCCTCCATTATGAAGATAACAATAACCTCCATAACCTCCACCTTTATAACCATTATTCTTGTAACATTTCACTTTCATAACCTCCCCATTATATCCATGTTAATGTCATGTTTATGACTAACCTTTTGTATGCCTCTATGTTACACTATAAATAGAGGCATAAGGGTTCATATTGTATACACTTGAAGATTTGGTGAATACTTGAAAGAAAGAAAGTTATCTCATATTGTTCCTCTTGTGCTATATTCTTCTTGTCTTCATCTTTATATTGTTCTTTTGTTCTTACGTTTTACAACACGTTATCAGCACGAATGTTCTACCATTGCAGGATTGAAGCAAAGTAAATAAAAGGAGGTAAAATAATTGTGTTTATTTTTCTCTCGGAAACAAGGTAAATTATTGTGGAATCTATTTTATATTTTACTTGTGAACAAGGTGAATGATTAATATTATTGTTATTGTGCATTTCTTTTTCCACCTATGACTATATATACTTTCTTTTGTATGTGAAACTTATTTTATTTTTTATTTATGATTATGCTCACTGTTTTGGTTATTGCATAAGCTTTTAATTTATTTTGTTTTGTGTGTGAAATATTTTGGGTTCATATGGAAATTGAAAAGGGGATGATGGTAGCGAACAGTTTTAAGTTAGTGTAATTGGAATTATTACTTTTTTAGTGTGCAATTGATTCTTTGATTTATAACAGTAATTCACAACCTTAATAATTATGCACCAAACATTATATAATATAATGTTATATGTAACTCCCTGTTTTGACAAGTTTAAGATATTAGTACATACTTTGTTGAGAATATTTTTATTGTATTTTTTTTTGTTCTATATTTTATTATTCATGTTAATCACAAAGTAACAATTTTGTTCTATATTTATTTGTACATGTTAATCACAAAGTGGTAATATTATTTTTTAAGGCTCAATGGTGAGTCCAATTATATTTGGCATTTGTGTCATTGATTGAGGGTAAGACGAAGGATTCAAGTCCTATCGCACCAAGAGGGTAATCAGGTGAGAGTCCTGATGCATCATGATAATAAAATGTTGGGTTGGATCCCAACAAATAATGACCTAAAATGCCTTATTATGTGTAAGACGTTGGGTTCAAGTCCCAACATAATATAATGATGATGTAATGATGACTGAGGAAATTGATATGCTCTTTGATAAAAGTCATGAAATCCGCCCAATTGATTTGCTCCATTCTCTTATGTGAATGTGGTAGCAATGCATAATATGTCTGAAAAATGACAAGTGGTTGAATGTGTCACGACCCGAGCCTACACCCTGGACGTGGCCGACACTCGAGAACCATTGTTGGTCCCCAAGCGAACCCTCATCCTGGCTGACTTCAAGCGGAAGACTAACTCAAGCATACAAAGCTTAAAAACTGAATAAATATTCATGAAACTTAAATTGAAATCTTTAACTCAAAAGAAAACTCTGAATAAAATAAATTATTCAACTCGCCATAAAATAGGCAACTTAAGTCTTTAAAACATTTAATAAAATAAATATTATAGACTTCTTAACTATACTGACTATCTATGAAGCCTCTAACTGTTAAAGATGGGAGTCGGGACAAGACCTACGACATCCTGACTAAACTGAAAAGTAAATGAAATTCTCTGGAAACAAGGAGGCTCACCATAGCTAACTCGAACGTCCGGATATATCAACGAAGCTCCTGTTGATGACCCTAAATACCTGTGTCTGCATCATGAGAAGATGCAGGCCAAATGGCTCAGTACGTGGAATGTACGAGCATGTAAGAGGAATTCTAAAGCATAAACATAAGCTTGAACTTTGATAAAAAGGAAACATACTTACCTCTTCTCAAACTTACTCAACTCAAGGAATACTCAAGGATACTCAAAACTACTCAACTCAGAAGTACTCAAGGATAAGATACTCAACTTAGAGATTAGATGCTCAACTCAAAGATATGATATTCGATTCTGGGTACTCAACTCTGTATACTCAACTTAATATAAATCAACAATACACATGTAATATATGGAAAGCTTTATAAAATAGTAAAAGAAACTTAGTTCGTTAAAGAAAATGCAATAACAAACTGAACTTTACTTATATAATAAAGTAATATATAGTTTAGGTGGGAGTTTCTCTAACCGACAACCACCACTATGAGCCTAAGTGGTGATACAACGTCTTTACCATCACGCTGTCAGACTGTCCTATACTTTGCTGTCATATAGAACTACTTAACTTAGTGGATCCACTAGCTTAACTTATGTGATCATCTAAAAAGTATGACCCATTGATACTCATGATGGCTACATGGTTTATGGAGACTTGAGTTAATATGAACTCGCATCCCCATATCGGTGCTCAATACTACTCCCAAAAATATACGTAGCTCATATGTTTTAAAACAACCTCTTTCTTTGGTTTGAGATAATTACTCAAAAGTTAGCTTAGAAGCTCTCTTGGAATCGATGTTCCCTTTCTTGCTCAAAACTCTTTTGGAAATCTCAATTTCCTCTAATCTTAAATGTGAAAACATTTACTCTTGGGAATACTTAGTTCCCATATATCATTTTAAAGAAAATTAACTTTGCTATTACTCTTTACTCAACTTCAAAGCTTAAGTCTTAAAACAAAGTTAAAACATTTGTAAAAGACTTCTTAAAATATGGTTCATGTCGATTTATGGACGTGAACGACTCAATGCAAGGTTTTTAGTAACCATAGATAGAACTCAATACTTGGAACTCAAGAACTTCAATGATACTACTCATTTCAAGAATGCTCAACTCAAAGGGTTCATGCGGAATTATGAGCATGAACTACTCAACTCA